GTGGACGCGAGCAGTACGTGAGTCACGAGCGACTGCGTGCATATCCGTCTAGTTTGCCAGAGTTATCAGACTGCTTAGATGACGCTGAGGTAACTAACGAATGTTGATGGGATCAATTTAACGGATAGGGCTAGATAACTTATATGTTATTTTCGCATATTCCCATCATTTTCTTTTTCTCTTTTTTTTATTTCTTGCCAATCTTGGTGTGTTAACATTTTTGTTTATTTGAACGAAGAAGTTAGATTCTTTAAGTTTTTTTTTTATTGTTGATCGGAATTGTAACAATATCTTTGTTTTGTTTTAGCACATAGTTTTGAATACTGTACCAATTATGTGTTGCTGTATCGATAAGCTAATAAACCATCTGTGAAAGCTTATACGCTTTGTTTTGCTGAGTAACAGTTGAAAGCTATAACGCTTTACTGAAATAATTATTCATGAAAGCTGCTACGCTTTGCTTTGTTCAGTGACAGACAGTTAAAAGCTATAACGCTTTACTGAAATAATTATTCATGAAAGCTGCTACGCTTTGCTTTGTTCAGTGACAGACAGTTAAAAGCTATAACGCTTTACTGAAATAATTATTCATGAAAGCTGCTACGCTTTGCTTTGTTCAGTGACAGACAGTTGAAAGCTAATAACGCTTTACTGAAATAATTATTCATGAAAGCTGCTACGCTTTGCTTTGTTCAGTGACAGACAGTTGAAAGCTAATAACGCTTTACTGAAATAATTATTCATGAAAGCTACTACGCTTTGTTTTGTTAAGCTGACATTTGATAACTATGAAACGCATACGTTGAAGGCGATATTACCGTTTTGCAAGGTAACTAAAGTAACTTTGTAGTATAGTAATGGTGGCTGAAAGCATTATTACGCTTTGCTATGTATGTTGCAAGTTTGCTACAAGTTCCTGTAATTCTCTGCCGTATTTATTGCTACATGAAATGCTCCAAGGGTGCCTATGCTATGCAGTGAATTGCCATAGACCAACGCGAGAGCGCGTTGAGTTGCAGGATGGCCGTGTCGGAGAATCATTTAAACTTGTAAGTAAATATTATTGTTATCTATCAAATGTAACATTGACAGTTGAGTGTCATGTCGCCTCAAGATTGAAGGTGATTGGCACGTTCGTCTGACGAGATTGATTCAATGGGGGGACACACGGGACTTGGAGTCTGTGTGGTCTTAGTCTATAGTCCTAGTCTGTGGTCTTAGACTGTGGAATTAGTCTATGGTTTTAGTCTATGGCCTTAGTCTGTGGTCTAGAAAGAAACTATGAAAATGGTTGTCTATGACTCTATGGTTTTATCTATTGAAATGTCAGTGGTGCGTCGATCACTTCTACGTGAATCTTCGCCTGCGCCAGTTGTGCGTGCTGACTTTTCCTAGCTAACAATATGGCCGACAACGAGACGACTGATGGCGAACCAAATCCAAAATCATCCACGACATCTATAACATTTATCGTACCTACAGTTGCCAAGTTATCACCTAACTAGTTCATTATAAACAGCACAACTTGTATCGCTCAAGTTTTCAACTCAATGAATGCTGTACTTAACTACGAACTTAGCTCGATAGTTGATTGTAATACGCCATTTCTATCTGTCGTCTTGGTTGTCGATAGTTCAGAAATAGTCTTTCCATTGTACAAAGTCATTACTCCCGTTGTTGGATAGATCGCCAGTACCGCCACAGAGGAAGGGGTTTCGGTTTGACAAAATCCTACAACTTAATGTTTTTTCAGTGTTTGGAAATTTTGCAGTACCTTATATTACATCAACGATGACACAACCATTTTAGAAAGGCCTGGTATGGGTTAAAAGATAAATATATAGTATAAAGATTAATAGGAAAGAAAAGGAATATAACACGACAACACTTCAATCAGAATTAATATATGATTAAAAAAATATTAAAAGAATTTAATAAAATGAACGTTTCTACCGAAGGTTTTAATTAAAAACCAAATAGCTTATACAACTTTGAACTTGCAACAGACAATAGTTACAACTTCTTTTGTTTCATTCGTCTATTCATTTCATTCAAGTATGCTTTTAAGGTAAAACGTTCTTTTCCACAGCAGTTGACAGAACGCGCCTGACAGTTTCAGATAAGCAATAACTCCCGTTTGCTAATTGAGTGAGTTGCTAACTATATTATTGCAGGCGTTTGTTTAATGTAGAGTGGTTTATACTATTTATTAAATTGTAAGATTTTCCCTCAAATTCGCGCGTGTTTAATTTCTTTCTTGATTAAGAGCTGGAAAGTTACTGAATGATTAGAAAAGCGAAGCGTTAAAAAGTCAAAATCCATTGTATTTAAGGTTTTTTTCAAGTACCTACCCTAATTTTCAGCTAAATCAGTTTAGCCGTTCTTGAGTTATAAATAATGTAACTTCACAAATTTCTTTTATATTATGAATATATGGTTATTCGACGTTATAACACTAGCAACAGAAATGAATTGTGGTTTGATGTTAGAAAACAACTAACCACAATTCATTTCTGTTTGGTCAGCAATTCCATTACATGGTAAAGTAATTTTCCTGCTTATCTAAGAATATAATTTAACGTGAAAAATTGGAACCATTATCAGCAAACACTGGCTATTATAATTAACAAAACGTGGTTGAACTTTATTCCTAAGCACGTACTTACCTTTATTGTGAGGGGAAAATCATCAAATGACTTTTCCCGCCCAGGATGGGGCGAGTATCTGACTCTTACTGATTATAAACCCCACCGTTCCTTTTCCTGCTTTAAGCTACCTACCCTTAATAATCCCTTATAGCACATCTCATTTAACAAACGAAAAATATAATCAAAATATATAATATAATATATATTTATTACAATAATTCTTAGCAGCTTCCAAAACACAAAACCATATCATTCATATTAAAAACATAAACAATTTCGAAGGTATACAAAGTTTCCACACCCTATATTAATAGATATCCAAAATTTTCGAGGCAGGCTGTATGTCTTCGAGTATATGAGAAAACTTCGCTCATTTTCTTCTGAGGTATGACACGAAGGATTTGAGTTTAGAATTTAAAATGTGAAGGTAACTGAGAGTAGGTAGAGGTAGAGGCCCTACGCCTTTGACCTGATTTGAAATGTTTTTGTGACGATTAAGCAAGTATGTAAGTATGTAAATTTATTAGTATGGTCTGTATACTACATATAACTTTTTTGAGCGCGGTAAATCATCCAGAGTTTGTCCTCTGACAGACTCTTACCGACTAAAAACTATTCAATTCAATTCAATTCAATTCTTTATTTGCATTCCATATGTTACACAGGTGATATTTTATAAAGTTGAACTTCGTCTGTCAGTTGTGTCTTCATAAACTGAGAAAGACCCAGTATTTAAACTTAGGAACATGAGATGCGGCAGCCTTAGCATCCAGGCCGCCACGACCAATAATCTACCTACAAGTACTCACAGAAAATAATCCAACAAAAAATAAAATATAGCTAAACATACCAAAGCAAAAAAGTCCAGTGTAAACCTTTTCGTGTCTATCCTCAATAAACTGTTGTATTATTTGTGTTCATGAGCATTACAACCTTGACACCCGGCGCTGTCCAATAAAATGCTATCGCACCCTTGACTGTACCCTCCAACCTACCCTGAGTAATAAACATTGAGGATTTACTCAACCAATATATACCCTAGTTAGGTACATCGTTATGAACAATATCGGTGTACATTTTTGAAAATATTAAACGGTAATGCTTGAGGATAATGATTTTCTTTCTATGGGTGAAAATGAAGTCGTATATTTTTTTAAGATAAGTTTTTGCAAAATATTTTGCTAAGTTTATCTTATTTATCATCAAATCACTCCTCTCGTCCTGGTTTTTTTTTTGTGAGGGGAAAATCATCAAATGACTTCTCCCGCCCAGCGCCGGGCAGGAGGGAGTGTCAGACTCTTACTGACTAAAAACCCCCCTGTTCCTTCTCCTGCTCTGTGCCGAGGTCGCGGTACCTCATTGCGCTTACCCCGCAACCCCGGCTGAACGCGACGTGAATATTAGACTCTTACTGACTCAAACCACCCCGTTTGAGGCCGCGGTATATTATTGAGTTTGAATCGCAACCTCGACAGTTGTCGGAGATCAAGAGATGATCTCCGCCCACCGTAAGCGCGGATCTGTGGACGGCGAGTAATGGTAGCTCGACGCCCAACCAGAACCAGACCCGATCGTAGGCGCGTAGCGTTCCGCGCGCGCCTAAAAGGGCCAATAGACTGCCACAGACGGAGCCGTACAGGGCTGATGTTCAGCCAGGGTTGCGGGGTAAGCGCAATGCGGCACCGTGGCCTCGAGGACAGGATAAATAATGGCGGGTTTTTAGTCAGTGTGACACTCTCTCTCTCTTCTTACCCTGGGCGGGCGCAGTCGTTTGATGATTTTCCCCTGACAAAAAAAGTAAATGTTGAAAGCAAACTTTTGGTAACAATAAACAAGAAGTTTTTTAAACACTTCCTATTTTATTTCTCTGAGTATAAATAAAATAATTTACACAACTGTTATTTAGCATACAGAATAAGAATATAAAGATTGATTCAGTATAGTTTCAGTAACGATTTTTTGGATACTGAAGTGACCAATGGTAACAACAGATACTTATGACTTAACAATAGGCGTCTCTTTTTTATTATAACTTTCGTGTGACATACTAAATTAATTATTATGTTTTCGGCCTACTCACGTAATTGTTTTGATCTCGTCAAAACAATTACGTGTACTCGACTAGTTTCAAGCCATGCTAGAGGTCCATATTCATGAGCAGTAATCCGCGACACGCGACGCGGCGACTGTCGCGCGTGTAGTAGCAGCGCGACAGCTCGAGTATCTCGTCAAAACAATTACGTGAATGAGCCGAAAACATAATAATTAATAGGTGTCTCTGTACAAAGTTCCTCCTTAGTTTCTTACATACAGACCAAGAATAATGATTAACCAGAACATCTTTGTTCACAGCTAATCTGCGAGCTAGCCCTGCTAATATCAGCCAGTGGCATCGGCCTTTACTACCGAGCGTTAACAGAAAGAGCTCATAGGAACACCTTCGCTGGTACCAGAACTTGCCTGGAACAGCGAGTGAAACTGGAGTGTGAGAGAGAGCAACAGGAACGATTACTTCTCTCTGTCATACCTGCGTATATTGCTGCTGAGGTAAGTGACTGTTTTGGATCTTATTTTGTATTCCAGGATTACCTTCGATTATGGATGATGAGATTGGAAGCATTTAATGAAGATTGCTTAGCCGTTCGATGAAGAGAAACTTAAGAGGTTCCGAATGAAAACTTTAAATATTGTGATTCAGTGGATGTTTAGTTTTTTTGACATATTGTCATCTAAAATAACTATTGTTAAACATTGAGACTTCGTAGTTAACAAGGCCTTTTTTAGGCAAGCAGTATTAGCCTAGTGGATACAGCTTTAAAAAAGCAATTTGATTAAAAATTCTAGGTCATGAAAATAAACTTTTCTGTAAATAAACATAAGCTGAGTCGTAACACAAACACACGAAATCCCAAAAACAATTTCGTCACAATTACTTTCTAAAATTCAATTCAGGTCAGCCATTTAATGTGACATACATTTGTATTTTCATTTTTATCATAGACTGGTCTACATTCAAATAGAAATCCATCATACTAAATAGCATATAAAAACCTGGCTAAGATTGATTCTAAAAATCTTTTATAAAAAAAAAACAGTTCCATTTTTTATGTCCCACCTTTCAAAAACCTCATTACAAGTTTTTAAGGCTTTCTTCACTGTTAGAGGTACTCGGTAGATCTGGTGGAAGCCGAACTTCATTGATGCTCAATTGTGTGGAAACGCAAATCTATCGATTACCGATAAGTGTGAGGCTGAGGGCTGTGGGCCAGTGTCACAGGGATTTTACACAATGGACAAAGAAAAAAATATGGCTTTATAGAAAACGATTTATTTTTTATTTACTTTGCGATTGTGTAATTTTATTGGATGAAGCCATTTTTTACGTGATGGATCTGCAAACGCGCTTACGGTTTACCTGATGGGCTTTGGACACTCTGCACAATCATCAGGGAAATCATGCAACAGTCATTCTTAAATTTGGCTTCCTTTCTTTAATTACCGTAACCGTCTTTATTTTATTTCACTCGTATAACTGAAACATATTAATATACAGCAACAAATAATAGATGCAAAAGTTATAGGTACATATAATATACTTTTTATTCCGCATTCTGGACGATCACTGAGACGTAGTTAGGTCAGGTTATTTATTTATTTTTTATTAAACATACACACTATCATTACAGTATTGTCATTAGTGGGGTCGATGGTTATAAATAATTGAAGTCACGAAAGTCGGTTTTGGTTCTCGCAATATCTCAAAAATGGCACAAAAGCTGCCATTCTTGTGGGTGCAAGCTCCAAATAACCTTAATGTGTCTCTGGACGGTGTGTGTAAAGCGTAACGCATGTTTCTCAGCTGAAAAAGGCTATAAAAATAAGTGAAAAAAATAAGGACGCCAAATGACCAAAAAGCACCTACACACCTATAACAAGAATTCTTATTACCAATACATAATTATAGCATCTACATATCCCATGATTACTCTCTACAAGCCACCGCTCGCATCTTTTATAAGCTCATTTAATCTCTTAAGAGGTCGTGTGCTGACGGGATTTAATTTACACGTTGCAACAAGTTAATTATGCCTTCAGGCACGTGTTATGAAGTACCCGTGTAAAAGGACTCCGAATGGTAATCTCGAGAGAACTTGTGGTATATGTAGGTATAAATACTGGCCAGATGTGATGAATTGTATTTTGAATGTGTGATGCATTATTTCCTTGAAATAGGTTTCAATACTGTGTCTATCTATACTAATATTATAAAGTTTGTATGTAGGGGGTCATCTTTGGAACCGCTAGTCGGATTGCCAAAATTATTTCACTGATAGATAGCTACAATGTTCCTGAGTGCTACGCTACGATCAAATGGAGCTGATCAGCAGGTGAAACAGCGCGAGAGCAGCTAGTAGTCTATATACCTTTGAAATAATTAAGTCAGTATTTGAAGCCTGTTGGAGGAAGAGATGTGGAATTTATTCAGCTGCAGTCTTTAGTTTTGTGGCAAGCAAATATTGTAATAAAATAATACCGTAATACAATCTATATCTGTGGGAGAGCGATCGGCACGAATCGGCTCGGTGATACTACGGCCTTACCGAACCGGCGTGAAACAATCATAGCATTGTGTTTCGTCATATGAATTTGGTTACCCAAGGCCCATGTCCGAAACACTAATCGCCAAAAATCCGTCATCGCTCGTAAATCTTCTGTTGTTGCAGTCTATACGGAAAATCCGTCGGTTCATTAGCCAACATACCAAAAAAGGAAACTTTTCTTCAATATTTTGGCAAGATACACCAGAACTTTATAAACCATTCGATATAAACACGGCTAAATATTTCATTGACCTTACAATTTAAATAAAAACAAGTTCATTACCAAATAAAAGTTGACATGACAAGTCGCGCCTGTCGCTTGTCTGACCTTACCCTTGCCACGTCATCACGATAAAGTGTTAACTAAGGATGGAGTTCCGTGACTGCGACCTTAGTCGGATATCCGATATAATACAAAGTATCCGTAACTGAATCCGGATCCTGAATTAATCTGGAAGATATTGGAGAGACCTGTGTTTAATAGTGAATGTCTTGTAATATAAAGATGATGATTAGGATGAACTGAATCGTATAAAACTTTTAGAAAGAAGAACTCACACAGTCACCCAAAGCTTAATGGAGTATGGTGTGACTGTGTGTGTCCTTCTGTTTTTTTGGCATAGGTCGACAAACGAGCATCAATCGGCGCAGCTCATACATAATTGTAATGCCAAAGAGTTACTACTAGTGCGTTGTCGGCCTCTGTGGGTTATTAGGGATCTAAGGATTTGGGTATTTTAAATGGGGGGGGGATAAGGATTGAGGGCGATATTCTCACTCACACGGCTCAATACAGCGTAAGCGTTGCTTCACGCCGGTTTTGTGTAAGGCCTTTGTATCATTCCGGTCGAGCCGACTCATTTTAGCCGAAGCATAATTCTTCCACACAATTTTTATTCTCAACTGGAACCTATATCATACTATTCCTCGTCTGTACTTAGATCCGAAATATTTAGATACTCTCTACATCACTATTAAACATTTTATGGGGTCGTTCGAAAAATGTTCCGGACCAAAATAATGGAGTTATTTTAAGGTCTATGTGTGGCAAAAATAAGACCCGTGGGACGGAGTGTGGACGGAGGTTATTTTTGGTATCAAAACTGTTCACTGACGGGATTTTTTGGTTATACGGTGTAAATTACGTTGGTTTGCATATTTCTGGAATTTCTGGAAAGTAGGTAAATCTATGGAGTGTTTTTTTTATTGAAAGCCAACTACATCTATACCTGCACTTTTTTATTTTGGATCTTATGTCCAAAACAAAAACCGTAAGTGTTCGTTCTAAAATTCATATGGAGAAGAAATAGCAATTAAAGTCTAATTCAATTTAAAAAATATTTATGCAATATTGTCACATATTATTTTAATCTACATCTGCGTGAAATATATATATCTAAAGAGTATTTTTTTTGTATCTATTTCATGTTGAAGAAATCAGAAGAGTTTAAAATATAGTTCATGATTGATATTATCGCCATTTCAGGGAATGGTCGACCCACTTACACAAGTTCATAGTGTGAATCAATGCACAAAGTCTCATGACCCAATCGTGACTCAAACCGCAACCAGTTCACTTGGTCACCTATTTAATACAACAACTGAAACATTTTGACACTTGAAAATTCAGACATCACGATAAGCAAACATCCTTTTAAATTGCAACGTCAAACAATCAATTTATAACCATATTTGATAAAGGATAAAGTAGGAATTTGAGTAACATACTACTTGTTGACAGGACTAATTATTTCGATTTTTCCCCTGATATAATGAGCTGAAGGATTTTATACTTAAAGCACTAAGGTTTTAAGACTCAAATTGAATATTAATTGTAGAATTTCACACTGAATATTCTTTGTTGACAAGCCTTTTGTTTTAAACATAGTGCATGGTGTGGTTTTTTGTAGTTTCAATCGTATGTGACCTCGTAAAAGGTTTATAATTGAATGAGGGTCGGCTTTGTGCACGGCACGCGATCCTTTACCTACGTCAGTACTTGTTGCCACAATAATCAGTTTAAAAAAAGAAGTGATTCCTCTCTTTAAACTTGATGTACAAAGCAAACATAATTTCCTGGCTTTTTTCTATATAAATGTAATCAAGTTCAAGAGTAAGGTAGGCACTAGGCAATTTCACATTTTCGTCATAATTCGATTTAAAGTTTTCGTTTGAGTTGTAAACAAACATAATTTCTACATACATTTCGCAGACTTAAGACGAGTAGATAGTGTGTTTTTTGAAACAATTTCAAAAAAGGAAAATGTTCACGATTTTAATAGAATTTGTAAAGCATATCGGTTCTTTGTTTGTAAAAAGAGACTTTAGTTAGTCGATCTTTTTTAATTTTAACTATCGAACACAGTTTCTGACAAAAAGATTCTTGTGTAATAAAATGAAGAGCTAGGCTAAGGTTCTTAAACCGCAACCCAGGCTCGAAACAGGCGAAGAAACTGGGTGGTTTTTAGTCAGTAAGAGTCTGACACTTCTAAATATCCTAGCACTCAAGGCGTAAGAAGTCATTTGATGACTTCTTTCCTTTAAGATAGACTGTGGTCTGATTCTGATAAGGGTCACAGGAAGCCTTTGAATGCAGGTTGCTTCTAAACGACTGATCAGGAAATCGCCGGGTGAACCCAAGTTCAACAGTGGATGTTTTGTGGTTTATATCATGATGATCATGATGTCATTCAAAAGTCAAGGAACTCATTGAAATTGTTCATCTACCTTGTAGTAAGATCTGTAATTAAAGGAGCACCACATCGTATATACTATATAATGTTTAATTCAGCTCTTACGAGATCGACTTCAGCGTTAAGACGCTCAATGGTCAAGATGTTTGCACATAACATGTTATGCAAACATACATTCATAGCACTGACACAAACATCCATAGACCTTCAAAAATTATTAACATCCGACCATCCGAGTCAATATTTGCTCTCTAAGATGTACCCATACATTTCCGAGTAAATTTACTTATTATATTCGTGTTATTAATTAAATTATTACAAATTCAAAGTAATCGTACATTTATTTACAATTTTAATGGGAATTGCTTCATTAATACTAAATTTTGGGAATATTTTTACTCTCTACTAATAATTACTTACTTTTCGCTTAGAATTCGAAATGTGGTGACCTTGGCTCTTGATATCTAAAAGAAAAACTTTTTGTTTCGTGAAATGTAATAATTTGTGAAAGAAAAATATAATGGAGTCCGTTTTCCTTTTGTAAATATTCATCTATGTGTTTGTTTTCATTGTTGTTCGTACGTACGGTACGTTAAATGTCGTGTTTGGCTTTTATTGATTCACAAACCATAGGTAATGATTTTATATTATACAAATGAAATAGTAATATAGGTATAGTTATCAATAATACGATATTTAAATTAGGTATAATATTATTTTGATATTTTATCCGGGTTTTTATACGCCCATCCTTGAGCTTTATATATGAACCAAAATATCGGCAATACTGTATTATAATTTTTACAAGTAATTATCAATACATAATTTTTCATACACAGGATCAGACAAAATACTTTTTATTACAGTTCTTACTTTTTTATTATAATAAGATCAGGCTCACAGCGTATAAACAAAGTATTTAAAAGTATTGGTTTAGGTAATGGGTCTTATACATATATTAGCCTTAAGTAATCTGATTCACATGCATGTGGTTAAGGAATTTGCGCTCAAGATGTTGTAAAAGTAAAATTCACGATGTCTTGTGAGTATTTAGAAACTAAAAAAAATTTTCTAAATATTTCTCGTACCGTATCGTAGCGCCTTATGCTGTGGACTCGCGCACAACTCCGTGCGTGGCATTACAAGCAAGCGACTGTTATTCCGTCCGGCCGTAATAAGGTTAACATGTTAATATCCTGCTCTACTCCACATACTTCTAATTGTTTAGAAATTTGACTTATATTAGAAAACTGGTAGTTTTAATCATATTCAGATTAGAAAGTGAAAATCTGGCGGTGCTAGTCAATCAAAGCGACTATGCTCACACATCTATAGGTATAACGAAGAATTAGAATGTATTATGAATTTCGAGATAATCGTCATTATCATCATCATATTTTAGCTCAACTTGATACCACGGCCTCACACCAATCTTACCCCTTCACTCTAAATGCCTAAATCCCTAACAAAACACAAAAGGCCGTCAACGGTCCTATAACTTTTTGGCAGTTCCGAGTATTCATGGACGGCGCCAGTTGCTAATCAGGTGATCAGCCTGATTGTTTACCAAGCTCTCCCATACACTGCTGATCATAAGCCGATACTTACTTAAGATTAACTCATTGGCCAATTAAAAGCGAACTGCATCCAGCGTCTCTCTACGACTCGTATCATTACATCGTCTATGTACCTTCGACATAAAGCAACTTGGTTATGACATTAATGGTGGTAATTAAAAGTATAATGCATAATTACGGTCACCAAGGCTTACCAAAAAACCAGACTAAACAATCTTCTAAAGAAATTTCTACATATCTTTCATATCTCAAGAGTCTTAAATCTGAACTGGCGTATCTGACTCTTGTACTATCTAAATTATTTATTATGTTTTCGGCTTACTCACGTAATAATTTGACGAGATACTCGACTAGTTTCAAGCCATGCTAGAGGCCCATATTCATGAGCAGCATTCCGCGACACGCGACTCGGCGACCGTCGCGCTGCTACTGGCTACTCGAGTCTGCGCGCCTAACGCGCCCTCTGCCGTGATTCACGCGCACTTTCTTCTAGCCGAGGTGTCGGCAGCGACGGCGCGCGCGACACTGTTGGCACGCTAGACTCGCCCGCCTGCAGCTGCGTTGGTGTTGGGTTCGAATCCCGGGTCGACGCAAAATCAGTGTTACATACCGCGCTAACTGTGTCACACTCCAGACCCGCAACAGTGCAGTCTGATGCAGATTTCAGACTTGGCTTCCAGGCAGGTGGTAATGCCCAGCCACCGTCTCTGTTGAAGTTCGGACGCCGGCTTATTTCGATGGCCTCACGTAATTTCCGCGGTACGAAGTATTTTTCCCTCGCTAGTACTGAGACCTTGTCGAAACGGAGGAAGTGAGCCGTGCCCGTACTACAAGCATGCTCAGCTACCGCCGATGTATGGGTGTCTCGGTTTTTCACACTGCGTATGTGTTCTTTTAGTCTGGTTGTGATGTTGCGGCGAGTTTCCCCGATGTAATTCGAGCCACAGTCGCACGGTATCATGTATACTCCGGGAACCGCCAGCGGATCCTTGTCCTTAGGCGAGCGCAGAAGATGTCGTAACTGACCGGGTGGGCGGAAGATCGTCCTGATGCTGTATCTCCGGCGTAACAGGTGTCCGATGGTGTCGGTTACTCCTTTCACATAGGGTAAAAATGCTGGAGTCCGTTCCGCAACTGCCGGCCGTCTTCTTTTACTTGATGAGCTCGCCATTCGAGTACACTGACGCCAGTTGTACCCATTATTTTCCAGTACCTGTCTTAGGTGGTCGAATTCCGCGTCAATGTACTGGGCCTCTAGCATGGCTTGAAACTAGTCGAGTATCTCGTCAAATTATTACGTGAGTAAGCCGAAAACATAATAAATAACTTGTACTATCTCAAAGGAAACTCATTTTGTTACCGGTACTTAAAAGTCCCTAGGAATCCTTACCAAATTTCTGAAACTTAAGAATTCATATACCTAGAAATATTTACCTAACTCTTCACAACCATAAATTGCCTTTGTTTTATCATATAACGAGGCGTTCTTCTCAATTGAATGGGATGAGAACAATTTGGATACAACGATATGTACTATTTTCTCTATCTTTTGAAGTAAATCAGGTATTTCCGAAGGATCTTGACTATTTTTATACAGCGTCTCAGAAGAGTGAACGTCTTATAAAAAGGGCCTTAAGAATGTTGAAGACCTTATAGAAAATGTCCTTGACGTTTTCCCATAGTTGAATTATTTTGAACTTTACTAGTTTGAGTAAGCCCTCATCATCATCAGTAGCTTATAAATGTCCATTGTGGAACAAAAGCAACACACCGAAAAGGTTTGTGCTTAAATCACCACGCTTGCTGAAAATAGATTGGTGAATACAGTTCCTGTGTTCCTATTTTTATTTTTTCACCTTAGCGTAGGTCAGTGGTGTCTAAATAATCTTAGAAAGTACATGTTACTCAAAAAAGTCACATTGGTTTCAAACCCACATCGTTATGTATGAGAAAGGATAAGGCACTAACCTTCAAGTCACCACGACTTTGACACAAGTTCTCAATTTTTGAATACTTTAGTAAAAGTGATAAGCAACGACCGTGGCCTAACGGTACATAAGCGCCACCTGGCAAGCAGAAAAATTCTAACGTACACACCAGGAGATTATGTCAATCGCTACGAGACAATCTACTATGAATTGGGTCATTAAATACAAGCTACATTGCCATTAAAAATATTATAGAAAAAAAAACGCTAAATTATTCTGTGATTTCTAATATTTTTCGAGGACATTCCTAACGTCATTGCTATAAACTCTTGGTTTTATTGAAGAATCTTATATTATTGTCATAATAATTTGTGATATTTTAATAATAGCAAGTAATATAGGTAGAATCTCAATTTAACGTCAATTTAAGTTCTGTTACTTTTAAATACCAAACTGTGGCACGCTTTAGCTTTAGCGAAAAATTTCGTTTACATGCTAATAGGTATCGGGCAAGATAAACTATTGACTTATTTCAGTTTAAGAGACGGATCCCAACATACTAATGTATAAAAAATACAGTTGTACTCGCCCTGGATTGGGCAACATAGAGTATCAGTCTTGCTAACTAAGAACTACCTCGTTTCTTCTCCTGCTCCAACTCCAACCAAGCCGAGGGTTTGGTGCATGATTGCGCATACAGACAGACTGACACTTTTTATCCTTAGAGTTTCTTTGACATACATCATGGTCTGTAAGGGTCTAATTGAAATAAATTATTTTGACTCTTTGACTGTTGACATTTTGAACAATGTATATAAGGTCATATTAAAAATATCTCCGGATCATAGATACTCATACTATATGGCATTTACATAAATAATAATCGAATGATTTCTATATTTAATTGGCTCATAATTATTATCGAGGAGACGTTATAAATAAAAATGCATCTTTTAAGAAACTTATTGATGTAATATATTATTATCTTACATAACCGTATGCTTAAATATTAAAATTATTCTAATGTTAAGGCTATATCAGTCACAATTGGCGTTGATTCGCAAACTCAAGGATTTGGACTGGTACACCGAATCAAATTATCTTTTAAATATTTTGGAGGTAACATTCAAAGTCGTCGTTAAGTTCCTTATAATGACGAGTTTATTTTCCGTATTCTCTCGCTAGTAATGTTAACATTAGCTTTATTTCAATAAATAACAGCTGTAACATTACCGCTATTGCTTTTAAACAGCAACATCTTCTCATATATTTCTTTTCCATCCATTACAAAATCGTCTTCGTCACTTGAATCCGCGAATTCCACCAACAACATAACTTAATCCAAACTTCTAAATTCCACTTCATTATTAAATACAAATAATTTTATTTTAACATTTAAATGCATATCTACATAATCGGAATGATATTGTGATTTATTTAAAATTGTCTTTACTTCATTGAGCACGATGTTTTACACTCGATTTTCTTGGCTACCCCGCTTGCCATTCACTGGGTAAGCGGAGCCATTAGAACTTGGAGAATATCACTAACACATTTTCAGTTTACAGTTCAAGATTCTGAATATTCTTTCCTCATTAGATCAGCGTCTGATTTGCCGATATTTACATGAATGGTGATGGCTTCATCTGTGTCTGATTTCATTACAACATCGTTCCATTGCACTTCAGCTTTCTTGCCATAAGCCTCATTTTCTATGAGAATAGCTGATTTTGTGCAAAGCGCTTTGCTTTGGAATTCGATTAAAGCGCAGTATTCGCTTTTCTTTGTCTCTGACTTTACATCAGCTATGTAGCCGAGTTTCCGCCTCATAACTTCTACTCTTACGTGGTAGTTATAGATGCACACTTTGATGATGAAAGCGCTTTTCTGGTGCAGCAGTATAATCTTGTACTTTGTTCGACAGCACGCTGTCTTCTTCAGCTTCGTTTGGAAGTTTTCAATGAGAATCTTGATCTTCTGTGAGTAGACTGCGATGATGTTGTGAGTCTTTTGTAAATGTGATGAGAGTTCTTCGAAAGGAACTGTGCAGCAGCCAGCTGTGATGGGGCAGACCATGGTGTCGAATTTGCAGTCTTCTTCGTGCTTGACTCTGGTAACAGCAGTTAAGAGTTCTGTGCATCCGCGTCTGTGAACAACGAAATAGTTTTATTAGTATCTCTGTTTTATGTTTTTATAAACACAAACATTTGCATTAATGACTTCAATTTATTATCAAGTTTATTTATTGCGTTCAGCTTCTTATGTAAATCGATGACAACATTTGCATCGACTAGATGTACTTCGGCAATAAATTAAATATGCGTGGACAGCATATTTTATGTTCACTTGATTGTATATTATTTGTTATTTAAAAACATTTACGCCATGTTTTGAAATATAAATTTTAATCAACAGTACTTGGTAGTACCGGCACAAATGGACATTAACATTTCCTTTGCAAGAAATATAATAATTTATGAGCGTTAAATTGTAGCACGGAATAACGTCATATGACGTTACAACAAGAATAACAACTAGGTACCTCAACTAACATGCCTGAGCTTGAGCGTATTTTTTGCGATCTTAATTAAAACACGTGCATATATGGAATAAAGGTGTTTGTTTTATTTGTATCATACTTTGAAATCACGTTCATGCATCGACTCGTGTGTAATTATTTTAATTATTTTTAATTTAACACGGAGTAGGGTAGATCCAGTTAAAGGTATCTGCAAGATGATTGGTAATGATTGGATACTTAGAGCTGAAGGTCTAGATTAGTAGGTCAGTAGGTGGAAACGAATGATGATGATGATGACGATGATAATAAAGATCAAAAAACTAGCACCAGATCTTGGTAAACTGCTACATGACAATCATAATAGATCACAAAATAAAGTAAGCACTGACATTAACTAGACACACTAATAAAATTGATCTAGGAAAGACTATGTCGGAGTGACATCACGATAAAAATAAATAAAGGGAAGCTTTAGGATGTTAACAAGCTTAATTTTTATTTTTGGACGTGTTTTCTTTATTTTTCTTCTTCATTTTTCATGTCAAGTTGTTTTATCTAAAATAATGGCTACGGTTGATTCAAATCCATTTTTCCAGCAAACTAACGTAGGTTTTAAATTTGACATATTGCAAAAACTTTATCGCTCACCAAAACTATTTTGAATGATCTCTCTTATCATGAATCTTTAAATCTAGCTCTATCAAGTTTTTCATATATTCGAACTGCTGTTCATTTAGGAATATGTTTGCCAAGTTAGTAGCTACCCTTATCAATAAAACCTTCTCGTTTAATCAATCAGTTACTATCAGGTTTATGTCCAAAAGCTGCGGTTTATTTGACAAACAACTGTTCTTATTGTTACCTTTTATGAGCTGTATACGATGTTTCGGACAAAGTGATTGGCTGTTCTTTGATTTATTGCTTTCAGAATTTTAGGAATTTCTTTTCCATTTTATTGTTTTTGATGTTGGTACTAGGTAACTGTCGAACAACTAAAGTTTTGTTTCAGTATTGATTTTTAAAGGATGTGGGTGTAAAAATTGTTCCTTCTGCCGTTTTATATTATTATTACACACTTGGTTGGCAGCATATTAATACACGGATACATACGTATATATAGGTATGTATATAATTGATATATATTCCATTACTTCCAAAGAATAAAGATACATATTTTAAAAATAATAACCAGATTCGTGCGTCGAAAGATCTTTAGACAGATACGAATACAAGTTAAGAGTAAATATTTGTATGACCTACAGATAAGTTCCGGATTTGACAGTTAGTGTCGACATGAGTTTGTAAACTTTGTCAACAAATCGATGAACTCATATAACGCTTAGAAGGTTACAAGATACTAAAAGTTCACTATACTTTATTCAGATGATAACAAAAACGATGATTGTGTACACGCGGCGCGGGCTTTTAGGGTCAACACTATGGAAATGACTGATCGGATTTTAATAAAACTTATTATACTAATATTATACAGAGGTAAAATTTTATGTTTGTATGTTTGTAAGTTTGTATGTAGAAGGTAATCTTTGGAACAACTTCCAAAATTCTTTCACTGATAGATAGCTACAATGATCCTGAGCGCTATAGGCTATAAAGCATCACGCTACGATCAAATGGAGCCGAGCAGCGGGTGAAACCGCGTGAGGGTAGCTAGTATTTCATAAAACAAAATCTAGAAAGTTAATGAAGCATATTTTTGAAATATTTTTTTATCTAGCAGTAACATGCGATTTTAGGTGTGCATAGAACCTTTCTAAGCTTCTCCATTCTTTAAACTTGTTTTTGAAGAATACCATCTGAGCTCCATGTTTAGCTTTCTCATCCAACCACTGCCAACCACCCTGCGCATATCGTCAGTCTACCTAGCTGGATAGTATATTAATGGCTTAACCCTAAGTCCAACGCCATCATTATCACTTTATCCTATAGATAGACTACCGAACAAAGCTGGATAAAGACTACACTGGTGTGAAGCTGAATATCAAAATACTGTATTAGAATATAAATCTCAATACACATGTTACTACATTGAAATACATATCAAGTAACAGATTATATTCAAAGAATTTCAATGCCCCTCGAGACAGTAACGTCACCGAGACCAACGCGACACTAGACATTTTATAAAGGAAATGCTATCGAGATTATTACGAACTATTTCCTAGGAAATCTTGATAGCATTCTTAGACTAATATGCAGTTCTACGTCATTGAGATGGGAAGTAATAATGATATTGAATAAACATAAGACAAAATTAATCTTCAAAGAGGATATGATGACAAAATAATATTCACAAGTTTTGTTGCGAATCCCGATCATTCTTCGTGTTTACTATTTCGAAAAATCTAAAAATAAGAACAATTATTTTTTGTACGACCCGAAAATTTAACCCAAAATCCGTTGCGACTGTCGACCAATGAAACTGACTACTTTTTTGAAATATTTATGACGTGAAAATTTTTGAAAATTTTAACATTTAGTAATGTTTAAAGAGGAAATAAATACTTATAGGTTTTTTACTATCATCAGATTATTGCAAAGTAAATTTAATTTCAGATAAAAACCTATGTGGGGTCCATTGCACTTTTGTCACATCGATTGCCAAATCAACAAGCCTTGAGTATCAGTGTTGAATTATTAATGGATTTTATGCCTACCCGTAAAAGGTTTTGGGAGGAATATGACTATTACTTAACAACCGCACCTGCCTTAAAAATTATAATGGGATCCTCCGTAATTATGTGGTCACAAATTTCTTAGTTATTATAGAGAGTGATAGTTTAATTGAGACCTTCAGATTTTCATAAAGAAAATTTGGTTTAAGATGTCGAGTCGGCCCATTCGCTCCGAACGATGGCTAACCCACACTTAACATAGCTTGTTATTGCGGTTAGTTAAGATAAGATTTACAAGAGATAGATATTTCTAAACTCATGGTAATAGCTTCAGTCTGCGCAACATATCGTAGTATTACAATATCAATAAAACCCACCTATAGTTCCTACACGGCAACATGAGGTCGTTGATGAGTCGCTGTAGCGCCAGACACGGTAATGCTGGCGATCTGAGAGCTCCCCTGCACCAGGCACATCTGGACATGCGTCGAGAACACCTCCCGCACCAGACTCCTCCACACCAAGGACAGACACAGGGTCCGCAACACTGGAAAATTAAAAAATATGATGTTACAGAAAAGACCTATAGAAAAAAAGTGCCATTAATTTTTAGTTAAATGTTTAGTGTGGTTTTTGGGTTTTCTTTTTTTTTACTAGCTACTCTCGCGCGGTTTCACCCGCTACTTGACTCGGCATTTGATCGTAGCGTCATGTTTTATAGCCTATAGAACTAAGGAACATTGTAGCTATCTGTCAGTAAAAGAATTTTGGCAATCGGACCAGCGGATCCAAAGATTTCCCCCTACATACAAACTTACACACATCCAAACTTACAAATACCTCTTTATAATATTAGTATAGATTTTAGCTGCAGCCTCGCCCGCGTGGTATGTTGATAAAAAGCTTGTATGTTAATCCACTTTAAACTTTCACATTGTTAATATTAGTACGATTTTTAGATTTTAATTTTGTTCATTAGAATTCTCAACAGACCAGTTACCTAGGCGTTGTGTGTTTCCTTTATTTATAAGAATCTGTAGGTATTCTATTTCTATATTATAACTATAAATGAATATATCAAGATCTGTTTCAATAACTAGAAAACAATTATGTTTCTCTATTTGGTTGAAAATATATGGTAGAGTTTGGGTAAACAATCAATGTTGATATAAACTTAATTAATTGTAAATCAGTTTTTCATACAAGTATAACATTACCTAAACAAGGCAAACATTTAACAATTTGTGGAAAGAAAACTAAGCATGTATGTGTGCGAACTGCATAAATTCAAAATTAAAAATGGAATTTTCAAACAACTATTTTAATTACTTAGAAATTAATAAGTTTCATATTAAAATACTTCAACGTACATGCAAGAATACTCTGGCATTTTGAAACTTTGAAAGGATGTTTAGAGTTTGTTAAGAAATACAATTCTATTAAAGTGCAGTAAGAAAATCAAGATTTTATAATTTATGGGACACGTTTGCAAACCATCAAAATGAAAATCATTTATTCCAACTAAACCATAAATATGGCACAGAACACCGGCGTAAAACAACCACAGCATTGTGTTTCACCGTCTGAGTTAGGTTACCGGCGACCCAATCCGTTGCCTCCCCCAATCCCTCCTAATTTCCAAAATGTCCAAATTCCTAATCTCCAAAAGGTCGGCAATGCACTTGTTACTCTTCGGTCGTTGCGGGTGTCCATGGCCGGCGCTGATTGCTTACCATCAGGTAATCCGTTTGCTCGTTTGCCGACCTATCACATAAAATATATATAAGTATATGTACTTTTAAAACGTCGAAATAGAATAGTTATTTGCCAGTCTGTTCGTCAGTAAAGATAGGTGATCAAACGGATTACCTAAGCAAACAACGCTTAAAGATACCTGCCACACCAAAGTTGCAATTGTGTTGCCAGATTTTAGAAGTAAGGAGTTAAAGAATTTGTGTATTAAAGATTGGGCCTTCAGTAACCAAACTAGCAAAGCAAAACATAATGCTGTGGTTGTCTCACGCCATGGTTTTCTGTGAGGCCGTGGCATCACTCTTCGAGCCGAAGCCCTCACTTTGAGCATGCTTGGTCAAAGTTACACTTATATATAAGAACAGCGATCAAAATTTATAGTCACCGTGTTCTAAGTACCTTGCATATTTTGTAAGCTGCAAGGTTGTAAATGATGAATTTTGTCGAAAAGGAATTGATGAGCCAATGAATGGCGGTTGACGTAATACTTTTGTTTTGTGTAATTATATTAATTTTTCCGTATTATTTACCTTATTTGTGTATCTTGTGGGTCTGTCGTTGTTCTAGAAATATTGATTCGATGTTATATACAAATGATTTCCGTTGCGTTTTGTGAATACCCAAGCCAATTTGCGTCGGCAAATTCGACAATATTGAAGTTTAGCCTTTCACGCGTTAATTTTTTTTTTAAGAAAAAGTGTATTTATGTCTTTTTATTGTTCATTTATTTCTTATAAATTGGTTATTTATGAGATTGAGAGATTAATATTCAATATTCAGTCAAAGACTGCGCTTTATTTATTCTTTATTGTTCGTATGTATATAAAATCATATAAAACACATTTGATGTGTATTTTATGACGAAATCAAGTATATAATTTGCTATAAAATGTCTTTATAGCTATTATTGATATGAAATAAATATTAAGCATATACATATTTGACGTTATATTATTTTATTTATTTGATTGCACTGTAAAAGTTTTTATTAAATTAAAATTTCTTTATTATTTATTAGACCCATAATAGTCCATAGATTGTTAGTGTATAAGTTACCAAAAAGTTCTTATGTACTATATTAGTATTTTTAGTAATCTATAGCTAATTCCACCCAGTGTCTCTGTATCGGACAATCCGGCCTATTAGCAATTATTTTCAGGATGCTGTTACGAGTGTTGCGCAAGCGTTGCAGTAAGGAAGCCGCTTATAACGCATAAAAACGTATGTTTATGTATATTTTGTTTTACTATTTTGATAATAGACGTATCAAGAAGTTGCAAATATCCAAAGCTATTTCCTCATAATCCCATTTTAGGTAGTTAAGATTATTTAATTTTTGTATAAAAACATGAAAATGTCAACCACGTGAATAACAAAAAAACTGGCTATAAGTTGCTTTTTTAAATATAGCGTGTATTCAATGTATCTCTTACAAAATTTACTTCCTAGAATGGCATTCGTAGCATTTGATCTACTAAAACACATTTTTAAATACACATTTAATGATAATAAAATATTTTATCTATACTAATATTATAAAGAGGCAGTAAGTTTGTATGTAGGGGGTAATCTTTGGAACCGCTGGTCTGGCTGGACTGCCAGAATTCATTCACTGATAGTTAGCAACAATTTTCCTGAGTGCTATAGTCACGCTACGATCAAATGTAGCTCTGGGAACCCCGCGAGAGTGAGAGCTAGCTAGATATAATTTTTCTATTTTCATGTAAAATCCTTGAAGACAATGAAAATAATGCAAATAACAAAGTATACATATTTAAGTAGGTATCTTAAAACTAAACACAAACTAACTTGGAGTTTGAGGAAACTGAAATTTGACCTTGAAAACTGTATGAGACCTTACATTCACTTGATATAACTTTGGTCGTATAACTTAATATTCATGTGGCGTCCTGCCTTTAAATCTCTGAGTAAGTAAGCAGGCCCATAATATATAAGGTGAGTGGCAATTAGTGACCTATATTTATACACGTGATTGTAGGTACTTATGAAAACAAACAATTTTCCTAAAGAAACTTTTTTCTATAGGTAACTCTTTTAATTTTTTAATTGTGTAATCCACAGATTATTGTTTCTGGTTTGGATGTGTACTTATGTTTGCTATTGTGTCACGATACAGAGTGAGGACAGTTTTTTTTGGAAAAATGTTGAGTAAGGACAGTTTTTTTTCTTAACCTTAAAAACGTAGTAATTCGTGACATAATAGAAGAACAATAGGTGCGCGAAAGCGCTTGGAGTTTGATGAAATTGAGAATAATTATCATTCATGAAACCTTCAAAAGATCTTATAATAATTATCGTGATTTTGGTCTCTTGACCAGCGAGGTAGTCATATTGCTTTACGTTTTTGTTCAAGTATCTCTATACATAAACTTAGAATGTAAGCCAACGAGGATGTGAAGCAACAAGACGGGCTTAAATTTAAGGAAGGGGTTTTAAAGGAAGCCTTTTGCCCCATTTCCATAGAGAGTTACATAAGTATAATAAGTCTTCCTTCTTAATAGTTAATCCTTTTGCTGAATATTAAATGAATGAGATCGACCTTGGATGTAAGGATTTAATTGGAGTAATTTTTGTATATTAAAGATTTGCCTCACAATAGGATTTTTTACTGCATCGTGGGTGCGTTAACAAACATACAATTTCACGGTTGTTTCACGCCGGTTTTCTGTGAGGCCGTGGTACCACTCCAGTCGAGCCAACCCATTCGTGCCGAAGCATGGGTCTCCCACACTTAGTTTTCCGAATCAATCGTTTTAATAATCTTGCGACCGTAAAAAACTTATACTTATGAAATAATTTCACAAGTCATTTGCACAAAAATAATATTCAGAAACCACAAATTTTGACACGGACATAAGAATCGTTTAGCGTCGGAAATAAGATTTCTTTGCCTTCAATTACATTTCGACAGATCAAGTAAGTGATGACGTCAGATGGCGTGATTTTTGCTTACTACTTCTACATTCTGACATTTAATTATATTTCATTGAAATCTCATTTCAATATATTTTCATTTGATTGTAATTTGTAGAATGTGGTTCCTCAAGGAAAGCTTTTGTTGGCTCGGCTCTTCCAGATCGTAGCGTGATGTTTAATAGCCTAAAAAGCCTTCCTCAATAAATGGTCTATTAAGTAAGAACAAAAAAAAATTTTCATTTCGAATAAGTAGTTCCTGAGATTAGCGCGTTTAAACAAACTCTCGATTTATAATATTAAGCATAGAATATTTACTAGCTCCGACTTCGCACGAATGAAATCCTGATACTAAATTTCGCCACTATTTATTTGAAGTTGTTATCCATATATAAACCTGCCTCTTCAATCACTCTATCTATTAAAACAAAACAGAATCAAAATCCGTTGCGTAGTTTTAAAGATTTAAGCATACATAAGGATATAGGGACAGAGAAAGTGACCTTATTTTATACTATGTAATGATGATGGTCGTTGACGTTGAAGATACTTCTACAATGCCGATTTATTTTAATGTGGTTTTTCAGTACATTTGTTTTTTTCCTACTTCTATCTGAATAAAACTAGATACAGTTTTATACATATACTTACTTGTAAAGGTTCCAAGCATATACTGCATTCTGAGAAACGTGAGATCAGTTCATCACAGTTTGGGCAGGAACATTGGGCGGCATGACCTTCTTCTGAAGACACCAACGCAGGTTGGACTAGCGGCAATGATTTATCTGGAAATAATGGAGAAATATTCGTTAAAAACATCGTCATCATCATCGAGACTCAGGTGAGGGTTCATTGATGAACTTTGGCATTCCTCTACACAAGAAGCCTTTATGTAGAATGATCTTCATTCTTCCTCCGTCATGTGATATTGAATTATTACCATTAATATTACAACCAGACATAAAAACGAGGCATGTATGATGAGAACCCGCTCACATAAGTTCTGCATTTGTTCGAATTTTTTTTTGTTGTAACAGTAATCAAAATACAATCCATCTATCGTCAGACCAAATTATAATCTTGTAGCTTTTACTGTCCCTATAATCCTGCCTGGTGGCTGACACTCAAATGAGAAACGTAGTTTTCGTTCCCATTCCAGTTTTACTCTTTAGGCGCTTAACATTAAAGAGATCTGAAGGATTTTATTGCCAAAAACTAATTCATTAGGTAGCAATAATTTACCGAAATTAATCATTTAAGATCAACAAGGAACTAAAATTTATTACTTGTATCTAAAGTGTTTCAGTACTTTTATCTCAAGAAACGTTCCCTTCAGTCCTTCAGGCCTGTCTTATCCTTCTTATTATTCAGCGAAATTATATTATTAATTAATATTGATCATTTAAGTGATTGGAAATGCTTTTATCGTTTCACTATAATCAAGATTTATTTTATATTAGTAATTTATTTGTACAATAACTATCTAAGATTCTGAGATCTATGTTCGTCGTGGTGTGGCCATGTAGGCGTGACGCTGCATCGCTATGACGCGTCATTTCTCAGAAGATTTTGTCATTGATGACCTCATGATTAAACGGTAATTTATCCAGAAAAGGCATTGTGATTAGGTACATGTTTTAAATAATGAGCAAATCAAGAATAGTGAGGAAAAAATTCAAATAAAGAAACCCGCTTTAAGATTAATTTTTTTTTATTATTTTTACATGTTATGTGTTGCTCAACCCACACTTTAAAAATATTTTTTATGTAATCACTTGAGCAAAAACTTTTTAGTTATCCGCTGAAAAACCGCAAACTATAATAATATAGTAATTTTTACATCTTTAATAAGTACACACATACATCTTCCATTTATATGAACTGATATCTTTTTTATTGCTACTTTAATAATAGTTATCGGCTTATAAAATATTTATTATTGGTATGCATGTGATGCAATTTTATTGGTTAATAATACGTACATATATTATTGATAGACAAATAAACAGTTTATTGCATACGTCTACTTTATTGAAGATGTGTATATTATGAATGAATATTGTTTTTGTGCAGTTCTAGTTTTTATTAATATCATAATACACACTTTCACAATTCTTTATTGAATTATATTAAGCGTTATTTTGAAAGCTCATCATCATCAGCCTTTATAAGTGCCCACTGCTGAGCAAAGGCCTCTTCTCATACGGAGAAGGTTAGAGCATTAATCACCACGCTTGCTCAATGCGGGTTGGCGATTTCAAACTTATAATTAGAAATTATAAGTCCAGGTTTTCTCACGATGTTCACCTTCACTGTATGTCAGTGGTGTCTCAATAATCATAGAAAGTACCTACATATAACTCGGAAAAAGTCACATTGGTACTTGCCAGATTTCGAACCCTCATGCATGAGAAGCGGGCTCCTTAACCTCCGGCCACCACGACATATGACATTTTGAAAGTTGTAATGTTGAAAATCAATAGCGGTCTGTACAAGGAGGAAAGAATTAAAGAAATGAAAAAGATGCAGTTGAGAACTTTCAAGAAAACAGCGTCCTTATAGGACCGACAACACTCTTATTACTCCTGTAGTGCTGCTAGTGACCCTGATAGCTTACGATCAGGTTATTCGTCTACGTTTCCCTCCTATCCCATACATAATAAATAAGAGTAACTATATCTAAAATATACCACTTTTTTTTTAAAAAAAAAACGTTGCCCCACACTAGGATTTTCTCCTGTGTCGTGGGTGCGGTTACAAACATACAATTTCACATGCACATGACACCCAGACCCGGAACAACAATTTGTGGATCACACAAAGAGTTGTTCCGTGCGGGAATCGAACCCGCGACACGTTGCACGGCAGCCAGTTGCCCGGCCACCGCACCAACCGTGCAGTCGATTATTGATACGCAGAACAACGAACCTAGTTATTATCTAACATTTACAAACAAAATCTTGAACATGTGTTCGTTGTACGCTTGACCATATCACATTCGACTTTCTTATAATATTTCCAAGTGTGTATTACGTCACTAAAGACAATTATGTTGAAGTATTCGTAACTCATTTAAAATTTATCTAAAGTGCTTCTTGTAAATTAAAGTTTAAACCTTAATTGCAAATAGTATTAAGTGCATATTTGCACTGCGTTAATTGGCATTGTAACGTTATCGATACTTGATTTTTAAACGATAATGATAGAAATAACAATTGCACCTGGCCTGATAGGTATTAGGTATTATAGTTACGTGACTTTGAGTATACTAGATTATTTTTAGAAGAGTTTTGTAATTGTACGTAATCATTAGGTTTATTTAAAATTTACTTATTTCCTTCATAGTCTTATTAACTGTTTCTTTTTTTAAACGTTGCCCCACACTAGGGTTTTCTCCCGTGTCTTGGGTGCGGTTACAAACATACAATTTCACATACACATGACACCCAGACCCGGAACAACAATTAGTGGATCACAGAAAAAGTTCTGTTCAAACAGAAGCCCAGCCACCGCACCAACTATGCAGTTGAAACATATATATACATATTGTGTTTATGTTCTAAGTTTCAATAAATCTGGTCATATGTTTTTTTATTTTTCATCATTTTGACTTGAACATTCGTTCTTAAGAGATTTTGTAATCAACTGTATACTACGGATATGCATGAATAGGAAAAAACAAAATTATATGTAAGTATTGTAATAGACGCCAGGAGTTGCAGGCAAAGCGCAATGAAGAACTGGGGCCCGGTTCCGAGTAGGAAAACGAACGGGATAGTTCTTAGGCACAAAATCCAGAGCAGGAGAAAAGCGAAAAATTGTAGTAGACAGTTCATCTGTCGTCTCAGCCTTATACCTTTGAGATAAAGACGCATATCCTTTAACAGGTGCTTCGTTAAGAGAGACATTAAAAATGGCACAAAAGAAAAAATTAACAACTAAAAGAATAATTTAATATATTTCCAAATAGCTCATAGTATTCGTCGATTAGTTTCGTATCGTTTAGTAAATAACATTATGTTTATTTATTTATTTATTAATTGTTTCATTATCTAACTACTGTTATACTAGTAGTATTTAATTAACTAGTTCTTAGTACCTAAGTTAAGTGGTGTTTAACTTAATAGAAGTCTATTCTAGTTGAGAAACACAAGGTATTTCTGAAGAAATATAGGATTCGTTTACTTAAGGAGTACAGATGGCCGAGACCAAATAAGTAATGGGTCGTATTCCCATCTCTTGGGCTAAATGACGATCGATTTCAAGATGTATAACAAAACTGAACCTTATGTGATTTATATTAGAAGGTATCTTTGTTGAAATATAAGGATTACTTTTTAGAACAAGTGAAGCCAAAAGCTTTTACTTTGTAAGTATTTTTTTACATGTTACTCAAAAAGTAATTCATGAATTCAAATACAATTTTTGCAGCGATTTAAAGTAGTAATTTCTACTTTAAAATGCAACACTACTTAAATCCATTTTAAGTCATTGACATAAGCTAGAATCTATTCGCAATAAAAACCCAACGAATAAATACACGGTGAAGAAATAATGTCCATATATTTATAAATTCCCTTTTTAAACATAACTTCCACTTGAATTTTAAACTGTATTCCTAAGAACCTCGTGTATAAATGATTCACAGTACTTGATGTCAATGAGCTCTTAATCTTTCCGCACTGTTGATAAACCACTAATGATATAGACGTCACAGGGTCACTATTATATAATATAAACGACGCACGTCTATAAATATTCTTTGCAATACAAGACTGGCCTTGAATGGTGTATTATAAAATCATTCGCTAATTCTTACATCTTTAGATATGGTCATTTTGCGACGTATAAATTAGAAGTGGTTTGGGCGAGGATAACAAAATTCGAATCGGTACATATGTTTATATTTAAAGAATTTGTGAGTTCCTCATATATGGTATTACTTAAAAATGAGACGTCGAAAATCCTTGGCAGTCGTGTTTTTGATCAATCTGTGTGGGACTCGGAATTAAATAATTGCGTTTAATGTTTAAGAGCCATGCTCGACCAGCGTGATACCACGGCTTTACAGAAAAGTGGCGTAAAACAACTACACGTTGTGTTTCGCTGAAGTGAGGTTACCGGAGGTAATATATTTCTCCTCTTCTATCCCTTAACCCTTTATCTCCAAAAGGCAACGCACTCGTAAGTCCTCTGGTCTTGTTTGATGTCCATGGACGACGTCGATTGCCTACCATCTGACTGCTCATTCGTCCTATCAAATAAAAAAGGGGAAAAACACAATCGATGTGAATTACCGAGTGTCGAAAGAAGATATTGAAAAATGCATTATTTCATTCGTCAAATTTGTGGGTAAACATAATATAAAAATTGTGAAGCAATACTTTAATGGCTCCGTTGAAAGAGAAAGGACATTTAAGAAGTCTTGCCGAAAATCTAGACGGTTAGGAAACTAGCTGAAGGTCTGTCTGAGATATTTTTGTGATTGAAATTTGACAAGGTTAAATTCATCTTTTTATATTCAGACTAGAAAATAGATAACGTGATTTGTATCGAAGAACATAAACTTCAAATTAAACTAAGAATGAAAATAGCTTGTAATGGTTAATGAGAAAATAATAACAATTCATCGTAAGATCTAGATTGTAACGATAATATTGCAGAGATCACAAAGTCTTGGCTAAGGAAAGATAATAGAATTTTCTTTAGCTGGCCTGCTGACGTAACTAAAAAGAAGGAAGAATTCAACAACGGTAACAATGGTGACGTAAAAGCTAAATACAAACAGAATGACAGTACTCAAGACATAATGAAATATAATACTACCGTTGAACAAGGAAGAGTCGTCAATGATGTAACTTCACATATAATAAAAGATAACAAAGGAATTCAAAGTAATGTTTTGGAAAATCACGGAAGATTTTACGATTAAACAATGTGTGAATGTTAATTGATCAAACAGAATCGTTTGTCATTATCATACTCATGTCTATATATCGTTCTGTTTTGTTTTACTTATCGTGTGTAACTTCTTAATAGGTTCAATCTTCATCTAAGTTTGTAGTGGCATTTTCTAATTCAATTATACTTGATTTTATTTCATCATCTTCTATTTGTCGATGTTTTGTTTCGTACTTCTAAGCTTTTGTTCTATTTTTGTAACATACTTCCCCTGCTAGGACAATTTCTAAATAAGTCTCACAGGATTTCGGTATTAATAAATATCTGCCTTTGGTATTGTGATTGCTAGAAGCGTGTCTTTTAATTTAAGTGAAGTATTGTTAAGCATTTTACATTTTCAACAATCTCAATTCTTTAGTATGGATTCTAAATAACAATACATTTTTTTGTTCTTTTCTGTTCTACGCTTCGATGTATTAAGAATTCTTTTGTGTATCATTTAAATCATCATTATTAAAAGAAACACGTTCAAGCACACACTATATAGCTTTTCAATCAATTATTTTTTATTTAGTCTCTCATAATTTAAAATTCTTAAAATGTACAACATCGGATGTGTTTAATGTATTACGACGTCCTTAGTTCTGGAGGCGTGAATAAATATAAACATATAATAATGAAATGATGTATTCGTCTGACATAACTGAAGGTTATAAAATTGTATAATGCAACTAATGCATAATTTGAGTGATGGTGAACGTGATCTTAGAAGGTATAAAAGACCCTTTGATTTAAAAATGAGCCAGCATTAAACGACTAATCTGTTGCAAAGTACGTACTTAGAAATGAAAGTTATTTATCTCTTAATTGCATCGTCCATGCAGTGGACGGCTAACCGGCTTGTGTACAACATGTCATAGATTTGATTCTCGCACGGAACAACTCTTTGTGTAATCAACGAATTGTAAATGTACCCCCAACACAGGGGAAAATTTTTGTGTGTGTCAAAGTATATATAACCTTTTTTATACTTCTCGTTAATTTCAGTCACGTCTACTTATATCATCGTCACATATTAAATTTTATAAATAAATAAATGATTATCAAAACTCAATCTCAATTTCAAAAGCAAGCTTAAAAAATCGTATTGACAAATCTACAATCTTAGTAAATTAAATTTCGATATCAGAAAGGAAGGTAAGCAGAATAATATGGCCTGTAATCAAAACCATATTCATTACATAATGTTATAACATCACAAGTCAAGGCTATGCGTTACTTCATACGACTATGCATCGCTATTCATTACTAGGTCAGCATTAGAACACGATTCGACGCCATATTGCAACGGAATTTGGTTTAAAAAATAACCGTTACTTTTCAAATTCTTTAGTTGTAAAAAAGTATTGGACAGTGTTGCGAATTGAATGCTAACTGTTTTTAAATGTCGAACGTTTAGAAGAACGATTTTTTCGAATTCTTGCTTTAAGTTAGTAGTTTTATGTGAATGTGATCTCAAAAACTACCGAACAATATTTCGTACAGTTTTTTTTTGTTTAAAAGCAAGTTTTATGCAATTAAAGGCAGACAGTTCGAAGTCAGAGCAGGTCAACCAGTTAACCAACAAGTTTGGACTTGCCTTAAAAGTCAAAAAACCCAAAATATACGTGACTTTGATCATGAAGTTACACGTGACATAAAAACGGCAACTTTGACGCCACGTGACTAAAGTTGCAATATTTTTTTTACTCCACTGCCTTGGCAGTTTGCCCTCATTCAGAAATTAAAGGTCAAAGCCCAGATAAACATACTTTAACATCTTAACAAAGAATGATTGTAAAAACTTGCATGCGATATAGCATGTAACACCTAATTTAGGTGTTTATTTACATGTTTTTTTTATTTAATTTTCGAATTCGATTCGAAATTTAAATAGAACAAGAAAAGAACAGATACAATTTTAGAAAAAAAATACAACCATACTAAAAGTGCCGCTCCAAATCCTTTAACTACATGTTGTTTTTAAATCCTCAATTCTATATTAATCCAAAATATTTATATACGACTTAAATTGGGTAATTTTAGAAAGGAGATCAGTTTCAATTATGTTTAAAAAACGAACAGTAATATATTAATAATCTTGATTCATGCAAAAATAAGAATCCAAATAGTTTATAAGTTTTCTTCATCTATGTTCGTTAAGCCAGTCATATGAATCAAGCATATATTTATAGGAAGGACCATTGCACTATTTCGTGCAATTAGATTAGCGTCTGCTGTTTGAATGCACAGGTCATTGACACGGTCAAATATGTCAATCACTTCTCGTTCCAAACTGTCTCACTGCATAAATTTAATACTATATGATTATTATGTTAAATTAAATTTATAATAAAGCTGAAGCTGTTTGTCATTTGAACAAGTTAATCTCGGGAATTACTGGTTAGAATTGAATAATTGTTTTTGTGTTTGGAATCAGTATGTTTTTATCTACTTTTTGGGAGTACGAACGAACTGCGCCATGACGAGCCTCTATATTTATCCCCATCTAAATAAAACCACGTGATTACATCAAACAATGTGACGTCACAACAATGAACCACATCTTACTCACCTATATAAAAAATACCGTCATAATTATACGGAAAAACTGATAAAATAAAACAATATTATCTCGTAATGCAAATAAATGTAGGTATTTACACGCATACATATAGTCATTACATAAATAAATGAGAAATCTTAGATTTAATTTGAAACTATGACGTATGCAATTCTTAGTACCTACAAAAACTCAAAATGGCGTCATCGATAAGATCTTAGCATGAAATCATGAACCATGAAATGACGTTTGTATTTGATTTCTAATCTTATTTACTAATGAATTGAGTTCTAAATGTATATTTCTGATTAAATTTAGGTGCCTATTTTTGTAATGTAACGGCTTTTTATGATTATTGTTTATTTTAAAGTATGATCTTTTTTGCAGATTACCTAGTTCGATATACCATTTTCAAATTTTGGGCCCGGGATTGCGGGTTTAAGCGCCTTGTATCGCGGCTCCGGACTAGGGCAGAAGAAGAGACAGGGTATTTTTAAGTCAGTAAGAGTCTGACACACCCTCTTGCGTTACCCAAAGAAAGGGTCAAGTCTTGCCAGGTGATCCCCATAAAAAACGCCGTTCTCAATAATAAAGAGATACCGATTTATATGAATACGGATGTGCTGACGAAACCTTAAGCTAATTTTCTATTTTAGTAATGGTAATTTGTATTATATAACGTAAAACTAATATAATACGCGTTCATATAATTAAATATTGTGACTCATTTATTAGACTATGCACGAGTCAAACTAAAATACATAATTACTTACACAAGGATTTCAGTGAAAATCTACGCGATATTGACAAAAAGAATTAAAATATACTCTTGAGCAAATTAATTAAATTGAGTCAATGAACGTATAATTAAAAGAATGAACAAATTTCGAGTACATAGTAAATAAATAATTAATAAATACAACATCGTTATTCAATTGTTAAAATGTCGTGTCTTATATTTGTGTTAACATAATGATTCGATTGTATTGTATCTATAATTAATTTATTGTTAATTGTTACTATAATATCTTTAATTGTTATGGTCATTAATTAACAAAATCACCTTTGAAATAAATGAATTTTAATGTATGAAATAAATAACATTAAGTAAATTAAAGAAGACTGAAATCAGAGTTTGTTTCGACATTCCTTCTCAGAGTAGTCAGTATTTTACATAATTATAGCTATTATATTCCGTTATTTATATATATGTACAAATAGATCGTGCAATATGTCAATTATTAAAAAAAATTCCAAAGTGCGTAATAATTTTTACCGGTGCGCCTAGCGATTGGTTGAAGAAAATCGTTCAATGACCTTTGTTCTTGGCCACTAAGACTCATGTGAACATCTACTTATACGAATAAATTACACATAAACATACTAAAACTTAAAAGAACCTCTTTTGTTTTTCCTTTTATTGGTCTGCATAAAATACACCGAAAAAATTCTAAACTGATTTTCACCTTTTTTTTAATAAAAGATCGATATAAAAAAATAATTCAAGCATAATTAAGTCTTGTTTGTAGTAACCTCATTGAATAAATCAATAGTGAGTATAATATTAATAATCAAATTAATTTAAATTCTATTGGTTCAAATATGGATATGTACTTCCCAGTACATGCGTACCGAAGGACCAATTTGAATAGATAAATATTATCTTATGTACGTACTGGCAATTTGCTTAACAATTGACGATCGTATTGTAATACAAATAAAATAGTTTTCTAGCATTTTCCATGTGTTTTTCTTTTGTTTAATAAGGAATTTTAATAATAAATCGTAATGTCAATGGAATTCTAATGGACTATTGGACCTACCATTAGTGAAGATAAAGAATTTAATGAAGATGAACTTTTTTAATAGAACTTCTAAGGTTTAAAGAAACAATACGTTAATATGCGTAGAAACGCAATAAACAAATACCTACGTAAATAAACGCAAATAAAAAAAACGGAATAAAAATTCCCAAACTTAAGTGGCTTATAATATCTGACTGATGAATGTAAGACACTGTCACTCACACATTATATTTTTTTCAATAAACTTAAGTGATGTCCACGTAAGTTTATTGATGTGTTTAAAGAGGATGATTTGATTTACAAAGACTTACCTTCAATCTCCACATTTTCTCCACTGGATGAGTCTGAGGAGTCATCTTCTATCTTCTTCTCCGTGACTATTGTGACGCTGTACTCTCCGCACTCGTTGTTATGTGACCTCTTGTCCGTCACCGAGTGGAACTGGAAATAAATTAAAAATTAAACATTAATTTAATGATCACATAATATAACATTCAATAAAAATCTATTATTTTCTCGTGTGACTGTAATCAGAAGTTCAAATTTGTCTGGCCAACCAGGCATGACTTTAAAATAGGACAAAAGATACAAATTTTATGAAGATAATTACGGTGATAAAATACCAGTGTAGTTATATAATTAATTAAATAAATAAAACAAAATAAAATTTATTAAAAATAAATAAAACGAAATTTATTAAAAAGAAATAAAATAAAATTTATAAAAAATAAAACTCATCAATTAGATACGATTTGTAGGAAACATTGCGAAAATAAATAAAAAATATGTCATGTTCCTTAAAAAACCGTACTAATATGCATGTAAATGATAAATATCTATACAGACATCAATAGTATAAAGGAGTACATTATTCAAACGATTAATCATATTACTACTTGAATAACCATAAAAGCTATATTTTTCAAAGGAAAATAAATCTTAACACCATGATGTAATGGAATAAAAAATCGTACGATAACAAAATTTAAGACGGTAACTCCCAAAGTGACGTCCGAATTTCCCAAATAAGAGAATACAGATTTGTATTTTCCGTGACGGTATCCACGTAATGACTATTTTGTAATAGCGAATTTCCTTATTGCATACAATTTCGTGATAAAATCTTGTTAATTATGAGTAACTGAGATGATTCTATCTGAAAATCGTTTCCTTATCAGGATGACTCGTTGGCTAACAACATTTTTGAGATTTATCATTGTACCGTAAAGTTTTTAATTTGTTACAATAAATTATTTGTTTTTTCATCACCAAGATGTCTATTACACAAAGAACCAACTGTATTGTACTTTCTAATTAATTCTAGATTTCGTACATGTATTACTATGCCTCAAATAACCTATCTATATTCGATAATCGTTACGAACTATTACGCTAGTTTTAACAATCAACGTTAAACGTGTTTTCAAAATAATCGTTGGAATATTTCTATCAACCAGTTGGGTTGGTATTGTAAGCTGGCTCTTGCACCTGCGTATGTAATTACTATTTTAGTATTAATTTAACAAGTTACTCGTCCAAGGTTTTTCAATCCTTATGAGTCACAGAACTTGGCTTCAGAAATACAGTCTTTTTCTATCTATACCTGTTATCAACCTAACAACTTGCTTAAAGTTTCATCTACAACTCTTTATAACTTTTCTTTACTAAGTATTGCAATTAAGTAACGTCAGGTAAATCATGGAATTAATATTTTTCCTACAATGTTTCTGTACGGAAAAGATATAAAATATCTTAAATCACCATGACCCATAAGGAACTATTGAGAAGACATTCTTAGGTCATGCCCCAGACCTGAAATGCCATGGTTCATATTAAATGGCTTTATACCTTTATAAGTCGTGATGGTCACACTTTAAAAGTACAAGTTATGCCACGTACGTTTTTACAATAAGTCAAGTTTCAAAACGGCAACTTTTCTCAACTTGGCGGCCATGACACACATCACAAAAGGCTTAAATCGCAGTTCAAGTTGTGAATCAATACGTTTTCCTTAGTGTTCGAAGCGAGAAGTGAACCGCGATTAACGTGTAGAGCAGTCATTGAACTATTGCGTAGTAACGTTAGGTGGGCAGTGGTAGTGGGGCTTATGATGTTGAGCGAATAGTTTTTTGTGATTTCGACAAAGGACCAAATTGACTATGTGGTCCTTTGAGACGAAAATGTTTAAAACATTTTATTTAAGCTTAATATATTGAAAGATACGTTCTTTTTAAGTTGTATTGTTCTTAAAAATTTGTTTTAAATTATTAATTGAAATGTTGGTTTTGTGTAGCACTTACAGCTCAGATTTAAACTAGCCGAGCAAACAAGAAAATAAATAAAATAATGTCAGTCCTTTATGAAACTATACATAATTTTACACGAGTACAGAAAAGGCGATAAATTGAATCGTGAGCTACAATATACCACCTCATTAAATATACATAGAACCTGATAGTATGTATACATATAATGTATATGTATATTATATCTCTTATCTCTTACAAATGGCTTTGACATGAGCGTATAATGGGGAAAATCTAGCCATTTTCTGTCATAACGAATTAAAAACTCTATTGTACTAATTTGTAGCACATTTTTATATTTTATCTTTCGAGATTTTTATCTTTATCGTTATTTTGTTAATAAAAATGTCACTTATACTTTTTTATATTAAAATAAGAAAATATTTATATTTTGATTTTTTGTCATTCATGTAGTTCATTTTGACATTTTTGTTCGTAAACTTGGGTGTGCTTTTATTGTCACATAGTAGGGGATCTAGAGATGTCTAGTCGTCGATGCACTTAAGTGTGTAGCACTTGAGCACCTAAACCCTCGGGAAGAGAAGAGACGGTCACATCTCCTAAATTAATTAAGTCCACAGTATCATCTCATATCCACTTTGTAACACTCCATTATTCTGATACCGAAAAAAAATCATGAAATAATTTATGAACTATTGTTAACATAAATACTGATATTATCACGATTTATTTGTATGAAAGATTTTGAGTTTGTTTTATGCTTGGTAATGAATGAGTTAGTTTACTTCTTCTAAGATAAACCTGCCGATATAGTATTGAGATAAGGTATTGAAACTTAACCGTTATAAGTTTATAGGAAACTTGCGATGTACATCGGAGTTACGTAAGGTAAGGTAATATGGCTTTAAATTACTTACGGTATTTTGACGGTGTGTAAGTAAGATACAGCTGATGTGTGTTTGTCTCTAGTTTAAGAATATTACGAGGGATTTAAAATGTCTTTTTATTTTTGATTTAGTTTCGTTTTGATTTAGGTATCTTTTGAATAACTGTTTTTGCAGTAGACGATTTACGTTGAAGAGTTGTAGCATATTAAAAAAAGTTAATAATCTACGAAGCAATCATAAAGCTAAACAAAAGCATGGGAAACAACGTTTCTGATTGTAAGAAAATGAAAAAAAAAACAAGTTTTTGACCTAATAAAAACAGATCTTTTAATTAATATGTAACCATTTAGTCAATGCCTATTTATAAAAAAAAATGCAGATTTATTAAAACAACTTCGTGACACGTGTTTAACAACCTTCACATATAAAAAAATTCAGCAGAGACCGGTTACCGTCAGTATGAGTAAAGAACAAACAATTATAATATTTAAGTTAGTGATGATAAGTGATATTATCGCACAAATTATTAAGATTACTCTAATCTGTTCACGGGAGTACTTAGTGGTATGTACAAAGGCAGTTCAACTTACACCTATCTGTCAAAATTCTTTATAAAATTTTCAGCTTAACACTGCTATGTTAAGGTCGAAAATTTATTGAAGATTAGTATAGTTTGATGTGCGTGATGAGTTACTTGGAATTTTTTGAGGAGATTCTCCCCATACCACAATGTTTGAGCGTGATAGTGCCGCATGTTTTAGTACTGAATAAGTTTGCTAATCAAATATAATGCTTACTTGTAGGGACAATAAAGTTTTAAGTTTGTTTGACATCTCTTGAATTAGCTGTCGAGTGGTTTTTGTCTGATAATGAGGACTTTTCTTGGGAAAGGTTATAGAACGATATCACATGACTTTAAAGACGAATAAATAGAAAAAAAAATTGTGTGCTGTAATTATATGTTAGTAATGCTACCTAAGCTATGATTAGCCTTTATTTCTTAATCATAATCTTGATGTCAATTTTATGAAAATCTTAAATTTTCAAGCTTTCACGCTAAGATATTTTTATATGTATAACAAAATACTGCGGAACCAAGGACCAAACACTTTTGAACCACTACTACAATGTCAATTTTTCAGCTGCTAATTTTTGTAACAGATCAATCAATTATTAACCATATGCTATATCAATACAAAGTACAATTTACTGGTTTCCATAAATCTCCACGCGATAGATACATGATATGGAACCTTCGTCGTGTAATGTTACTTAGAGTCAATTTACTCTATGTAATGTATCAGTTACATAGAATACAATATAATGAATATTATACCCGTATGTTTGTTAATTATTATCCACATACAAATGTGCTGATACATTCATTTATGAATAAAATGTTTCATTAGCAGGAAAAACAATTATAGTCATTTGAACACACGCTCGGAAACTGCTAAATGGATTTTGATGAAATTTTTATTGCCGGAATCTGTAGTTGGTAAATTGAAAGATCAATATTCAAACAGGATGATCACATCCTGTTTGCGTAATCCTATTTTGCTAAGTATGTGTCAGTAAATTTAAAACGGTTTATTAAATTATTTTACGAGTACCTATAGAATTCCGTACCTACGCATAAATCTTTACAGAGTTTAAGTTTCTAAATGCAATTTTAAACAAAAAATGGCTACTTTTGTTCACAATTTTTATATACTACCGTAGAAATACAATGAGAGCAGTGTTAAAACGGTTCGGTTACAAAATAAGACGATATTGTAATCAGCCATAAGACGCAAGGTCGGTTTACATTCACTTTACACCGGAGTAAACCGGTCCGGTTTGCTACCGATTCTAAAAGCATGATACGTTTTATTTTAATTGTGTTTTTCCTATTTATTTTTGTCATGTTGTAAAATTTGAATGTCGAATTTAAATAAGTTGATAGGGCTCGTACTTCATTAGGGTTGTTCGATTTTTAAATGTTTATTTGACGTCTGTTTTTTACCAGTGCTTGAAAAATAAATTTGCTGTAAATTCAATAAAAACCTTTTTTGTCCTTTTGTTTTTTTTATAAGGCTAGAAAACTTAGCATGAAGGTATTTTCTTAAAATATAATTAGTTATAGACGCGTTGCTTTACTACGATATTAATTTAATGCCGTATAATATAGGAATTAGGTTTATTGTCTTTGTTCTAGAAATAACTAAATAATGACTAATGTATAAATAATTTCATCTTGTAGGTAGATTGTAAACTGAAATAATTCCATTGTTTAAAATAGGATAACTTACTTCTATATCTAAAGTACATAATGATAAACTTTTTAAACACATGTAAGCATTATATGGGATATATTTTTATGGCATATTTGTTGCAAAAGTATTTTCTTGTTGAAATTAATTCTTTTGCTTGTCACTTGTCAATTTTCTTGACAGATTTTGTGATAAATAGCGAATCTCTCCCTTCACACAACGAAAAGCGAGACATATGTATTTCGGTAATGTATCTCACATACTTTTCAATCCATTGTTTTTTATACGGATAATTTTGATTTTGTTAGAGTGATAAGATGTCTATCTGTTTATACATAATTTTTATTATAAATATTTAAATTATTTACATGGCTTTTCGTTGTCTTATTTTACGTAAAAAAATTGCCATTTTTTATTAATAGAATGTAACAAAAAATAGTATTTAAGATAATTTGCTGGTTTTTTTTTTATTTGAAATATAATATTTATAATACAGTTACTTATAATAAAAACATGAGTATTTTAGGTCACTGCCTCGCCGCTATTCAGTTAAGTACGTCAATAGTTTATTATTATTTAATTATATTTAAAAATGTTTCTAATCGAGTTTATTTTTTATTTTTACAAAATATCAACTAAATTATTCTGATAACATGTTAATATTTACATAATCTGTGATAAATTGATGGATATTAATTAGTAAAAAAATATTTAATTCATATAATATTCGGGCTGAAGATTTACCATTAAAGTTTTGAAAGTTGGTTCTTCATTTTTATTTTCTTACCGGCTTCATAAATTGTCAGTTACACAAGTAGATTTTGTCGTATTATTTGTTTATTATTCCCAATAATGCAACCATTTTTTTATTTCTTTTTCTGTTGTAAATTGAGTGATTATTTCAGGTTAGTCCTTTAATAATGTAATATTATAAAAAATAAAAGAGAATAAAAAAACTTACCGAAGGTTTAAACAAGATAATTTTGGATTCGCGCCTCAACCGCCTATAGTCTCTGATATCGTAAAAACAATCGTCCTCGTTCTCCGAGCACGTCGTGTAACCGTGTCTACGCATTTTAATCACAATCCTTTAATAAATTTAACTACGACTAATTACACTTCACCCTTTAACAACTTTCGAATTAGTTACTAGAATAGTAAAATTACCAGAAAAAAAAATCGCAAATGTAAAAAAAATGTAACGAGAAAATAATATTTTAAAATATAATTATTTAAAAAATAATTATGTCGAAATAACCGAGTTGCGTAATAATTCTAATTCGACGTCTAACCAATTGTCACATTCGCGGTGAACTAAACTGACAATGAATAGTTTGTAAAAGTGTCAGATAGAGTATCTCAAGTCAGGCGTTACTGTTGTTACGATTTTTTGCTTCTTCAGTTTACTTAGTTTATTTGGAGGTTTACATCACGTGGCTTGAAGGAAACTCGAACAATAGTAAGCCGTTTCCTGACATAATGAGTTCAACATTTTCTTATTATGGGAATTAAATCACGCAGTAAGTAAACAAATAAAATACCACTTAAAAAAAGAATTGGAATTTCATCAAAATTTTAACAAAAAATATTTTTTGTGTTAATATTTCACTGCACCCCAAAAAATATTGAACCATAAAAATAAAACGAAAAAAAAAAATTATAAAAACATAACCCACTAAAATAAAACGAAATATTTTTTTATGTATGTGACCAAAAAATGAACAAAAATATACCGGTTTTCGTAATAGCTGTAAGAACCGCTGACGTCATAAGAGTGCAATGGCACGTTCTTGAGATCATTATTGTTGAATAAAAATTTCCGTTTCTCAAGTTCAAATGTTTGTAACAAACACATATACACCTAATTGTCACAAATAATGTTATATGATGTTAGGTAAATAAAACAGGTTTTATGTATATTACGCCAAAATTATATAAAAAAAACATAGAAACGTTTATATTTTTAAAGACTTGATATGTGTACTTAAAGTAGGTTTACATTTGAAATAATTAATAAGCCAAGATGTAAACATCAAATTAATTATTTTTTTTGTCAAATTAGAGCGAGTTAGTTAGTGAGTTTATTGACCTCAAAATCAATTATATCACAATAATTAAGTGTGATAATTATAGTGAGTTGTAAATTAGTCTAATTTATACTTATAATTATTGTTTATAGTTAGATATTCTTCAATTAAGTACAAAATATGTTTATCAGACTAAAATGAAATTAAATATCAGACTTATATGATAGAGGTCTAATATTTTACTAATGAAAATGTGTCATAAACGAAAAATGCCCTGTCACTGAAAACTAAAAAGTATTAAAAATATATAGGTAATAATAGTATGTATGTATAATTGCTACAAAAATAAAAATATCTAAATACTATGAATTTTATTTTATTTATCGATTAGAAATTCTTAACAGAATAAAAAGGTTATAGTGAATAGTTTTCACATCATCATGCATCAGCCTAAGTGCCTATTGCTGAGCAATGACCTCTTGTCACACGGATTGGCAATTTTAAACTTAGAACTTACAAGTCCAAATTTCCTCACGACGTTTTCCTTCGCCGATAAGTCGCCGATGTGTTTGTGGTCTTATAAACTACATACAAATATAATTCGGAAAAAGTCACATTTATCCACACAAAGCGAGCGCGTCAACCTTCGGGCCACTACGACATTACCTACATATATATTATAAGGTAAATAAATATTTTTATTTCACCTCGAACGAGGTCCTAAGTGCAAGCGCACAGATTATATATTTTTACATTTTATAAAGGTAGATAATATAAGCTTATCGATAGAGTCATTAACCCCTTTATCCATTACTTTATCAGACGTATGTGTGTCAATATGACTGTTCGCTTCAATATATGTTTATATATTTAAGTTTATCTTAGCTCACGATAAGATTAGCTATGTCAAACTATGTTATACATATATATTATGTATCGCTAATAAAATGTCTGTACTGTCATAATGCGGTGGTTATAATGTTACTTTTATATGTTTATAAACGTTTTATTGATTAAGTTATTTTTAGTTTAATTTTGTTTTGTCTTGTGAGATAAGAAATAAGAGTGTGATATATTTATTCTTCAATTTATTTACAAGATGTGCTTATAGATATTTAATTCGAGTCTCATTTATTTTTATCCGTGCAATCAGTACACAGTAGAAGAACGATAGGCGCAGGACGGCCGGCGTTCGCTTGTGATTTGATGAATCAATGGAAAATTATTAAATGACTTTTTGCGGCCTGCTACGTGGAGCACGTCGCTTTATAACCAAAATACACCCTTGGATTATTTTTTATTAATAATAAATAACATGATGGCTTTTGAATATTATAAAATAATCCGTTTTCTTCCTATTTTGTGTTAAGTTAAGACTATCACTTACAAATGTTTAATATGTTAATTTTAAATGTGATAAATTAATAAAGAATATATAACTAGTTGGCTGCTTTAGCGAAACAAGGGTGTCAGTATAAAAAAACGCATTAAAATTTTAATATATTTTTAAAGATTTAAGCGTACATAGTGACAGATAAGGGGCTTAGTTTTATACTATGTTGAAGTGAAGTGATTTATTATTGACTTGCGAAATAAACTGAGACTTTGTATTAGACAGTTGCAACTGCAAAACCGGTATGTTAGTTTGTTTATACAGTTTGTAAAATGTTATCTCATCATATCTCGATAGTTATAAGTATAAGCGGTTTAGATTTGCCTCATAGTTACCAAGTAGGTAGACGACGTCACAGTTGCGTAGAAACATGACATTTAATATATTTCGTAAAAGTTCAAGAGAGAGTAGTAGTAAATGTATGGCAACAGTTCTGAGATGTTGCTTAAGCATGTGTAGAAACCAAATAGGACATGAGGAATTTTGTTAGTATGATTAAGACCTTTATTTTGTTGGAGATAGTGGTTATTATTACGTGGTAAATGTGAAGGGCCTTGTTGGTTCTTTCGCTTTATGGAAATATACCCTTGTTCAGATTAGGATTGAATCAAGCGAGTCTTGCGAGCTGCGGTTGTAGTTGCAATTGCAATGTACCGCAGCTCGGCTTGGAGCAGGACAATGAATGGGGCAGTTCTTAGTCAGTAAAAGAATGACACTACGAGTATAAGGTGGAAATAGTCATTGAGTGATTTTCTACCCTGAATTAAAAAGGTGCACTATATAGTTCGGTTCTGGGTGTACAATTAACTGTTTTAAATAGTAGTATAGTATGCCTCTACATATACATATATTTATAATAGCTACTCTCCCGCAGTTGCACAGCTGCTTAGATCCATTTAGCCGTAGCATAAGGTTTTATTACCTATAGCCTTCCTCGATTAATGTACTAACAAATACAATAACAAATATTCCATTAGAACCAGTAGTGTTTAACTACTAGGACATGCTAATCAAACAAAAAGTCTCTACATCTTTATAATATTAGTATGTATAGATCATAATTAAAAAATAAAAATAAACGTACCATTTTTACGACAACTATAATCCAATATGGCACAACGGATAACACTTACATATTCACAGAACAAACAAAAATCTCTTAATAGACAAGACGGGGAGACACCCAAACACAATACTTGTATCAAACCGATCAAATTGTGATTACAATCATCGGCCCCCTTTCTTTTATTTATCACACATTATCACACATAATCCGTTGCTACAACTAGGTTAACATGATAACCATGTCTGGCAGACAATGTGGTACATATAAGATAACTGAAATATACATGTATTTATAAGCAAAGATAAAGTTATTATCAGAAGAGGAACTATAGTTTCTTATCGTGGGAAATTGTACTGCGCATTTCTGGGTTAAGACTTGAAGTTGTATGTGCATTGTGCAACTACGGAGACGATATTAAGGTCAAAAAGTTTTGTTAAAAAGCAATTGATATTAAAAACTTTTTTAAAGCAAGTTTTTTTTACATGTCGCGCCGGCGCACACCCGATTACTAGCTTCCGCTCGCGTGGTATGTCTATAAAAAGCAGTCTATATATTAATCCGGGGTATCAGCTATCAATACACCGAATTTTAAACAAATCGGTCCAGCCGTTTTCGCGTGAATCAATAACAAACAAACATCCATACATTTTGATGGGGTTTGTTAAAAGATAGAATTATTAAAGAGGAAGATTCATTATGTTTATTAATATCCATTAAATAGTTAAGAAAATTAGTATGAGCATTGCACCCGCGCGAAGCTTGGGAGGGTATGCCATATATATGTATTAGACCCATCGAATTAAATATTAAACAGTTCAGGTGTAATAAAAACAAATGACGATTTTTCATTTATTATTTAGTATTTTTTTTATGTAATAGATCGGCAAACGAGCAGACGGATTACCTGATGGTAAGTAATCAGCGCCGCACATGGACACCGGCAACGTAGGAGTTACGAGAATGCGTTGTCGACCTTTTAGGGATTAGGGATTTGGAGATTTAGGGATTGAGGAGGGATTAGGGGTGGAGAAGGATTGGGCCTCCGGTAACCTCACTCACACGGCGAAACACAACGCTGAGTTTGTTTCACGCCGGTCTTCTGTGAGGCCGTGGTATTACTCCGGTCGAGCCGACCCATTCGTGCCGAAGCATGGCTCTCCCACACTTATAGTATTTGCTGTTTATTTTTCACAAAAATAATAAGATAATTTATTTGGCGAAAATTAAGTGTCATAAATATATTTTTCGTAGCTCTGTTTACATTTTAGTAGTATGATGTAATAAAATTCAAGTTTCTATAATACTACGTCTTTTAAAATTGTTCAGTTTGAAATGTTATACCGGTTTTCCTTGAAAATATCTAGTTACTACAAGCAGGCATAAAGTATTGCAACAACACGTGGATAGAAGTGGGTACTAAGTTGTTCTATGTTTTACCTGTGCGTATAAAATATTACCATATTAATAACATAATTAGGACTACATTCCTATGTGCGTCATATCAAGACTAGACAGAGATATTTCTCATATATGTCCTGCCATCCTTTTATGACACCTACGAGAAGAAAAGAGGTGCTAGAGGTGGTTGCAAAACAAAACAAACTCAAAAAGGAAGACAGTTTGCCGCCTGGCGGCGCGTTGGGCGCGCAAGCTCGAGTCAGTCGGCTGCACGACAGAATAAGAGTTCCGTTGTAACTCGAAACTAGTAGAGTTTTTCTCATT